TGATGCTTCAGCTCTCGTTGTGCATTATTTCGACAGATTCTGTCCCCACTAATCAACCGCTTTTGACAAACAGAACCGAAAAGAACTGGAGGGGAATGGAAGACATACGGGGGCTGTTCTGTGGAGATTATGGCTGTTCCAGTGGTACTGAGAAACCATGCGGTTCTTTTGCTTGTAGTTATGGTTTTCTTTCTCATTCCTCTCCATGTCTCAGTCAAGCCCTGATCCTCTGTTTTGATCTTCTACTCTTGATCTTGGTTGTATCTAACGTTTTGGGGAAGTCAATGCCTAGAGTTCACATGTCGAATCGATTTCGTAGCCACACAGCTCTTCAGATCATCTCTGTTGTCTTCAATGGCTTTGTTGGATTGGTGTACCTTGGCTTGGGCATTTGGACTTTGGAGGAGAAGTTGAGGAAAGATCACACTGCTTTGCCATTGCAGGTTTGGTTATCAGCTTCCTTCCATGGCTTCACATGGTTATTGGTCAGCTCTATCATTAGCTTATGGACTAAACAGCTTCCAAGAACCTTGTTGCGCCTATTGTCCATTGTTGTGATCGTCTTTGCTGGGATTATTTGTGTCCTATCTGTTACCGATGCCATTTCGAGCAAAATGGTATCAGCCATGATCGTTTTAGATGTTCTATCTGTTCCGGGATCGGTTCTTTTGTTGCTTTGCTCTTTCAGTTGTTTCAGCCACGAAGAGAGTGAGGACAGTATCAATGGGACTGGAGTTTACACCCCATTAAATGGCGAGGCCAGTGAAAGTGGTAAGTTTGATCCTGTTACTCCATTAGCCAAAGCTGGATTGTTGAGTAAAGCTTCGTTTTGGTGGATGAATCCTTTAATGAAAAAGGGAAAGAAGAAGCCTCTTGAAAATGAAGATATACCAAAGATGCGCGAGGGAGATCAAGCGGAAAGTTGTTACTTGCAGTTCATAAACCATATGAACGAGCAGAAGAAAAACGATCCAAGTTCCCAGCCATCAATCTTTAAAGTCATCGTATCATGCCATTGGAGGAATATATTATTGTCTGGAATTTTCGCTTTGTTGAAGATACTCTTTGTCTCTGCTGGTCCTCTGCTTCTCAATGCCTTCATTCTAGTTGCTCAGGGACAACAAAGTTTCAAATACGAAGGCCTTGTACTTGCCCTTTCACTTTTCTTTTCGAAAAGCATTGAATCCATATCACAACGGCAATGGTACTTCAGAAGCAGGCTTGTTGGTCTTAAAGTCAGGTCCTTGCTCTCAGCAGCCATTTATAAAAAGCAATTGCGATTGTCCAATGAAGCTAAATTGATTCACTCAAGTGGTGAAATCATGAACTATGTCACGGTAGATGCGTATAGGATTGGAGAGTTCTCATACTGGTTCCACCAATCTTGGACCACGAGTCTTCAGCTATGTATTGCACTTCTGATCCTCTACAAAGCAGTGGGAATAGCAACCATTGCCGCTTTTGTGGTAATACTTCTATGTGTATTTGGCAATACTCCTATTGCCAAGCTACAACATAAGTTTCAGAGCAAATTGATGGCAGCACAAGATAAGAGACTAAAGACGTTCACAGAGGCTCTTGTAAACATGAAGGTTCTCAAGTTATATGCATGGGAAACCCATTTCAAGAATGTAATTGAGAAGTTAAGAAATGAGGAGCACAAGTGGTTGACAGCCGTGCAATATCGAAAGGGATATAATGGCATTCTCTTTTGGTCATCTCCTGTTCTCGTTTCAGTTGCAACCTTTGGGACATGTCATTTTTTGAACATTCCACTGCACGCCAATAATGTTTTCACTTTTGTATCTACATTGCGTCTTGTTCAAGATCCTGTTAGATCTATGGCTGATGTCATAGCGGCGATCATTCAAGCAAGGGTTTCATTTACACGTATCGTTAACTTTTTGGAGGCACCAGAGCTGCAAAGCTCAAGTGTTTGTAGAAAGCATGTGAATGTGAGTGATAACTGCTCCATTCGGATAAGTTCAGCATCTTTCTCATGGGAAGAGAATTTGTCGAAGCCTACTCTTCGAAATATTAATCTTGAGGTTAAGCCAGGTTCAAAGTTTGCTATATGTGGAGAAGTTGGCTCAGGAAAATCAACACTTCTAGCAGCCATTCTTGGTGAAATTCCAAATGTTGAGGGAAATGTAAGCTATATTACCACACTTCAGCTATCTATCTCATTACTACATAATATGTCTAAACATATTGCGATATATGCTGATCATATATTTTATCCTTTCTATCTTGTCCCACATAATAACTAGCTCAATATGCTTTGAATAGCCATCTGTATTTATCTTGACAGATTCAAGTTTATGGAAAGATTGCGTATGTGTCTCAAACAGCATGGATCCAAACAGGGTCCATACGAGATAACATTTTATTTGGCTCTGAAATGGATGATTCGAGATATCGAGAAACACTCGAGAAGTGTTCATTGCTGAAGGACCTTGAGTTGCTTCCTTATGGTGATCTCACTGAGATTGGGGAAAGAGGAGTGAATCTCAGTGGTGGGCAAAAGCAGAGGATTCAACTAGCCCGTGCGCTGTATCAAAATGCTGATATATATCTTCTGGACGATCCGTTCAGTGCTGTGGATGCACATACTGCTACAAGTTTGTTCAATGTAATTCACATACTCCCATCATTCTCAATTCCTTCTCTTTCAAATTGCTATTGACTGAGTAAAGCTAACTGGCACCATGACAGGGATATGTTATGGAAGCACTCTCGGGAAAAACTGTTCTTCTCGTGACTCATCAAGTTGATTTCCTGCCTGATTTTGACTCTGTTCTGGTTGGTACAAGCACCTTTTTTTAATATATATATAGTTTTTTCTCATTCCGTGTTGTATCTATGGAAAACTCTTGAAGCTAGTAATATTTGTTTAAAACAAACTCTTTCTAAAAGGACCAAGTCTCCATTTCACTGTTTCCAAAAACATGTTCCATGTTCAGTTGTGTGACTCATGCTTGTGATTTTGGGAGGAAATTTTTCTTCATTTGTGAGAACAAACTTGAAGTAAACAAGAAAAATAATTTCATCTCTGTTTTCAAACAAGGCTCAACTCTTTGAATGCTCATCATCCGAAGTTGTGATTCCTATTGCAGCTGATGTCAGATGGGGAGATTATAGAAGCAGCTCCTTACCATCAGTTGTTGGCACATAGCAAAGAATTTCAGGACCTTGTCAATGCACACAAAGAGACTGCTGGTGCTGAAAGGCTTGCAGATTTATCTGCTACCAAGAGTACGAGGACATCTGGTAGAGAGATCAAGCAATCTTATACGGAGAAACAATCTGTAACATCCGAAGCTAATCAGTTAATTAAGCAGGAGGAGCGAGAAGTTGGAGACTCGGGATTCAAGCCTTATATTCAGTATCTCAATCAGAACAAAGGGTTCTTTTACTACTCCTTAGACATTCTCTCCCAATTAGCATTTGTGGGATGTGGTGTAGCACAAAACTCTTGGATGGCTTCTAATGTCGACAATCCCGCCGTTAGCAACTCCCACTTGATCTTAGTTTACTTGTTGATTGGAGTTGCTTCAACACTATTCTTGGTTTCTAGATCTCTTTTCACAGTTCTTTTAGGTCTCCAATCATCGAAATCATTATTTTCTCAGCTACTAACGTCTCTTTTTCGCGCTCCGATGGCTTTCTATGACTCCACACCTCTTGGAAGGATACTTAGTCGGGTAAACATCTCAAGCTTCAACACAGAGGTTTTTGAGGTTGGAATGAAATGGAGTTTTCTAATCCTCTTTCTATCCTTCTATAGGTCTCAATGGATCTCAGTATTGTGGATCTTGATGTCCCATTCAGTTTAATATTTGCTATTGGCGCAACCTCTAATACCTATGCAGCGCTCGGAGTTTTAGCTGTAATCACATGGCAAGTTCTATTCATCTCCATACCGATGGTCATTTTGGCAATTTGCTTGCAGGTAATGCTTTCCTAATGGTAACTTATCTGCATTTGTTGTTGTTAAAAGATTTGGGCTGATGATACTGAGTGTGTGAGGGTGCCAGAAAGTAACTAAGGCGCCATCAGATTAGAACAAAACAACAATTTCTAAGTATTTTGATGAGAGAGCTATGGATGTGAAATACTATGGATGACATTTTCTTTTCCTTTAAAGTAACTGACTGGGAGAAGTCCTCTCTTGTACAGAGATACTACTTTGCTTCAGCGAAAGAACTCATGCGTCTTAATGGGACGACAAAGTCGATGGTAGCAAACCATTTGTCCGAATCCATAGCTGGAGCAATGACAATAAGAGCTTTTGAAGAGGAGGAGCGTTTCTTCCAAAAAAATCTTGAATTCATTGATGGAAATGCCAGTCCTTTCTTTCACAATTTTTCGGCCAACGAGTGGTTGATACAGCGGTTAGAAATGCTCAGTGCAGTGGTACTTGCTTCCGCTGCATTATGCATGGTATTGCTACCAACTGGAAGCTTCAACCCCGGTGCGGATTTAACAATTTATAACATTTAGATATCAAATATACACATTCTTACATGACATGTTATGAAAGCTACTGTGCTTATTGCAGGTTTCATTGGCATGGCAATCTCTTATGGCCTTTCTTTAAACGTGTCTCTGGTCTTTTCCATCCAGAATCAATGTACTGTAGCCAATCACATCATTTCTGTAGAAAGATTAAACCAATACATGCATTTACCAAGTGAAGCTCCCGAAATCATCAAAGAGAACCGCCCACCAACCAACTGGCCCTCGATCGGCAAAGTGGAGATAGTCGACTTGAAGGTAATTTTATGCTAACCAGAACCCAAATCTTCTGGGATGGTTAGCTCTCTGGGAGGATTTGTAAGCTAACTATGATGGCCTTGTTTTACAGATAAGATACAGACCCAACACACCCCTTGTTCTTCATGGTATAAGCTGCACATTTGAAGGAGGACATAAGATTGGTATTGTTGGTCGCACTGGCAGTGGAAAGTCTACTCTTTTAAGTGCAATATTCCGCTTAGTCGAGCCAGCTGGAGGAAAGATTATCGTCGATGGTATTGATATCTGCTCAATTGGACTTCATGATCTGCGCTCGCGTTTTGGAATTATACCTCAAGATCCAACTCTTTTTAAAGGAACTGTTAGATACAACTTAGATCCCATAGCTCAGCATACTGATGATGAAATATGGGAGGTAATACTCTGTTCCTTTATTGGATATAGATATTCTGCATAATATATACTTGACTAAAGTTTTGACATTTTGACATTTTGATCTTTCAGGTACTCGGTAAGTGTCAACTTAGAGAGGCTGTTGAAGAGAAAGAAGCGGGATTGGATTCCTTGGGTAATGTTTACTGTGTCTGAGACGATGTTGATGTTGGTTTTGAGTTTCTCCTACTTTCAGGTTGTCAATGGCTAACATTTTTTAAAAACCAGTTGTGGAAGATGGTTCGAACTGGAGCATGGGACAGCGCCAGCTTTTCTGTTTAGGTCGTGCGCTTTTGAGGAGAAGTCGGATATTGGTGCTCGATGAAGCAACTGCATCAATAGACAATGCCACGGATATGATTCTGCAAAAGACTATTCGAACCGAATTTGCAGACTGTACTGTGATTACAGTTGCTCACAGAATACCAACTGTTATGGATTGCACAATGGTGCTTGCTATAAGTGATGGTAAGTGTTGATAATTACATCAACTGTTCATTGCCCATGTTCTTTTTGGTTCTTAAGAAGATTAAGCATTATTCTGAAAACTATTTAGTCAAAAACAACTTTAAAAACACTATTCAAATACATTTTCTTAGTGTCATAGGATGCCCTTTGTTCATACATCCATCAAATCTTACACTAGGAGGAGAAGCGAAGTTAGAAATGAATCAAACATAGCTTACTTATGGAATGCTTAAATACAATTTTCAGGGAAAATAGCAGAATATGACGAACCTACAGCGTTGATCAAGAGAGAAGGTTCTCTATTTGGAAAACTTGTGAAGGAGTACTGGTCTCACTCACAGTCTGACTCTGTAGAATGATTTTGAATCCGACACTGTATTGTCCACAAGCTTCTTTTGCTTTCTCGCAAGTTAAAGAAGATGTAGGTGCATCACCCTAGATGAAAGATTGAGGGAGTGGATTTTGAAGACATATTTGTACTGGTGCAGCCTACGGCTTCATTCAGAAATATGGCCATTTCTCCATGAGAAAAGCCGAACTGCAACCATGTTTTGTAATAGAAAGATGTGTCCAACTCCTAATTTCTCACCTATTAGATTTACATCATTGATTGAATTGTCTGTAAAGTATCTTCCCTTCTCAACTGCATTTTTTTTTCCATTAACACTAGTAAAATTTGTGGTAGGAGAGAAATAAATGTTCTATTTATTATTCTGTTGATCAAATCAGTACAGCCATGAATACCCCCCCCAAAAAAAAACACTACGAAGTTTCAGATCTAACCAGTACTGGTTCTAACACTTCAGAAACATAAGTTTGTGTAATCACTTTTAGTTTTTGGGTTGTAAAACGATCGCATGTGAGAAAAAAGGGGGGTTTCATTGCTACCAAATGTGGAATGGGAACGAAATAGATCAAGAAACAATGTTATATTTATTGACCGAAAGGAACGATTGCAATACATTGAGTAGGTGTTGAATCGTGTTCAAGGACCTCCAAGAACAGCATTTTCAATGTCTTCTCTGCTTAGTGCATAACTAAATCTCCTCTCAACGTCTTTCTCAAGATTTCCTGGTCCACTCTTCAGATATCTGCAAAACAAAACATGTGAATCTTATCAAATTTGAAACCAGTGTCTGACCTTTCCACCCCAAAACTAACAATAGAAATGGAAATTTTCGTTTGCTCGTGTATGATGGGGGCAAATAAATTAACAAACTGAAAAGCCATGATTGAAACAGACTAGCTAGCCTTTCTCCCACTCTCTCACTCCAAAACGTTGAGAGAGGTTCATCCCTATTCTGAACCTTTTGATTCATCAAAATGTTCCCTAGCATCCAAGAAAGCTTAAAAGCCAATAAAGCATCAAAATAGCATTAGCCATGCTATACAATATTCCCTTGCTCTATTCCGTAATCTACAGCTACAAAAAGCAAAGCCCCAGATTGTGTTTCGTCCTCAGCTGCCTTGTTTGACATACTTTTTATTCTCTCCTTAGAGTCTTCATTATGAAATTGGTCATCTGTTGGGGAAGTTAACTGGCAAATGGAAAAGGCTGTGCAAAGAAATCTAATTCACTAGGATGAGTAGAACTGGATGTAACAAGGTACTAAACTGAAGTCCTTCATTTTCTGGAATGAATAATGTTCTATTGCAGCTCCATTATGCTCATTTAAACATCGTAAACGACATTTGCAGTTTGCATTACATACTATCTCCCTTTCTCTGGACAAATACATTGCATGCTCAATACCTAGAAAATTTACATGCTCAATATCCTGCTTCAAACATCTACATAACCACCTCTATGAGCAGTCCAGAGGCTCAAAAGTCTAGCACTGTCCATCTTCCCAGCCTTATCTTGACCATTGTTTCAATACAGACAACTGCTACATATCATCATTCTTTTCTCTAGAAGATAGTAATATAGATTAAATTACAATTTTTGTCCCAGAACTTAGAGGATTGTGTCTAAACAACCTGAAACAAGCAGTTGTTATGTGCATGCTTGAATGAACACAACCCCAGAATCAAAATGACATGCCTGAATTCGACTCAATTTTAAGAATCCAAAGAGAAATCATGGGAAAAGGAAATTCCAATAGAACTCTAAGAAAGTAAGATGGCATGTAACCATTGAATGATTCATCTCAATTCAATTAATGAACTAACCCCTAATCAGACAATGCAGTTAAACGATAAGGAAGCGAAACCCAGATTGAGAAACATAAATCTTCAACATAAAAAGGGGCAGGCCTATTGCTAACCTTATATAGAGGTCGGTGACATCAAGGGAGAGCTGGGCGTGCCATTCAGGCTTCTCGATTAGCCACAGGGCTCGGTCTTCTTTACTCTGGTAAAATCCTAAGCTCTTCAGCCAAGCCTCGATACAGGGCAAGCTGTGAGAGTAGAGGGGCTTCTTCTTTTCCGGAAGCTTGCTCAGCCACTCGTCCTCTGGAGCAGAGAGCTCCTCTGCTTCGGACGACCTGGAAGAGACAAGGGTAAAGCTTTTCCTCAGGGAATGGGAGATGGGGTTTTGGAATTGTCGGAGTTTAGGGGAAATGGAACGCCAAATCGGTGAAATTTCGGGATAATTTGAAGCAGAAGATGGGAAAACATTGTTACAAAGAGAGCCAAAAGCGAAGGCGATGGACATTATCCTATCAACAATCAATCTATGCGTATATTTATCAAATTCTCTAACTTAATTGCAAATTTCTCTACTAAGAATAGGAAGTAGAGAGAAAAAAAGGGCACTTTGGACTGGCGGTTCGAGGACTAAGAAGAAGAACCAAACTTGGGAAGGAAAGCAAGAGCGGGGCGGGCACGGGCAAAGCCCGTCATCGGTTTTCTCCTGGCATTTGTTTTTGTTTTTTTTTATACAACGTGGAATTTGAACTCATGACCTTTTAACTACCTTAACCACTTGAGCTATATTCGTTTTGACTTCTCGAGACATTTGTTGTTAAAAGATTAAACTTACTTATGTATCTTTTTTATTTTCTATCTGCTTTTGTAATTGTATATTTAAAAAAAAATGAAAACATATCAAAAAAAAATTGTGAGTAAAGAAAAGTTTTTAAAAATATAAAACCAATAACGAAATAGTTAATTAAATAATGATGTGTTGAGCAACTCGTTAGGTTATATTTATATTTGGAGTACTTGTAATGTGTCATTTACTATAAAATATAAATAAGGTAGATTTATGAAAATAATTTTATTTATTAACATGTTTGGCAAAAACATTAAATTTATTTTATGAAATTCAATTATTTGTTTGTATTTTTTAATTGAATTTGAGCTTTAAATGTTTCAAACGGTAATTCAATTTTAAATTTTTAGAAAGTTTTACTAATTGATGTGTGAAAATTGTGGTTTAATTGGATTGATGAATTTGTGGTTTAATTGGAATTGTGGTAAATTTAGTTGGCTTCGTATTTCAACCCTTCTTTTTATTTATTGTGTAGCCTGAGAACTTAACAAGTAAGAAATAAAATTGGATTTATGTCCAATGAATCACACCTACCAAGAAAAAGTATTTTGTTTTTGCTTTTGTTTGACCTGTAGTCATATATGAACTAGCCTAACGGTATAAATTAGTAACACTTTTCCCACAGGATCTATTACGAGAAAGGAATAATCTAAAGTTGTTTATGATCTAATATTCGTAGAGGGGATTTTTTTTTTTATTATGTAATTTGATAAGTACAATTCTCTGTAAGTATTCTTATTTGTGAGAATTCTACCAAGTCTAGAGAGAAAATTCATCCATTATTGAAGGGAGTTCAAGTGGTGTTCTACATCACAAGAGAAGCTTATGTTTGAAAAGATTCAATCAAATGAGGAGTCGATCCTTATGCTTGAAAAGATTCAATCGAATGAGGAGTCGATCAAGTATTGCGACATGATTTAAGACGAGAGTTATACAGAAAAATAGATTTTCTCTATTACAATTGATAATAATTTTCTAGATCCGTAAAATAGATTTTTTTAATAATTCAATATCTAATCATAAATTTATGTTGAGGTTGCGACGCCACACTTAAAAAAAAATTTAACTTTTATATGTTACATACAAATCATAAAACTCACTAGAATCCAAACCTCTTCCCAACTTAAAAGTTTTTAAATTTCATCAACTTGAGAATACAGAACAACTTTAGAGCAATGTTTTCTTTCTAATCATATATATTTTGATTGTCTTTAAATATATATCCAAGCACCCAAATTTTCTGACAAGATTTCATTTAAATTATCATGTGATAAAATATGATGAATGTATTTTAAATAATGATATTATATTATATATATATATATATATTACATGTTCAAAGTGTCGAACATCAGTTGGCCAAGCCAAAGTAAGAGAGCTTGCTTGCTAATTGGTACATCGTTAATGTGCGCCACAAGTATTATTTAGGAATTAGGATGTGTTGAAAAAATCAGATAACATATTAAACGTGGGAAGCTTCCAAAAGATATCTAGGCTAAAGCAATTTTTAAATTGAGAAAAGTTAATTGATGGTAGAGATATTATTTATATCGAGGCTATTAGGATTCGAACCTCCGATTTTAAAGAGGAGTAAGTGCCAATTATCGGCTATGCTCACGTTGGCAGTAATTGTCCCTTTTTTAATCTGCAGCAACTCAAAAAATATATATAAAATACTTAAAATTTCACGGTTTTCTCTAATTTGCCCTCCTAAATTTTTAAGGGAGAAAGAACACACATATGTGTATATAATGTTTGTGCAAAATTTTACTCATCCTTTAGAAAACTTCTAGCTTTGTCTATTTGATACCAGTCCTTTTTTTTTTTTTATTGATTTTCACCCATAGTAAATTTTTTTTCTTGTGTGTAGGTGTTTCAAAAGATTTTTTTTCATGTGTAAGATAATCTATATTTTTACATTTATTGTTCTTCGAAGCTTTTTTCATCTTTATTATATACATTTCATGAAATTATAAAATCCAAAAGACTAACAACAAAGTAAAAAAAAAGTCACCTAGTAACTAGAGATGGATTCTCCATTTGATTTTAAAAAAACAAAGGTATTTCACATATGTTTAGATATTGACTTATTCTAGCCTATGAGTTTGCTAATCTCTCTACATTTATAGAAATCTTACCATTAATCTAGGTTTCAGAACCAACTTTCAAACTACACTAACATAATTTACAAATCATAAGCATATATGCAGATGAAACAAACCACGACATAAACCTAAATTACTTTTAAAATTATATATTTCAAATCAAGTGGTTGTGAGTTCGATTTGGTTAGTAGATATCTCCTACTTATTATCAATTTTTTTAATTGTACGTTGGTAGGAAGATATACCTATTTACTCGTAAACATCTAAATTTTATTTCAAATGATTCAATTTACATGAGAATGATAGTAGAAATCATTATAAATGGGGAAGAAACAATAATGCAAGGGTTCGAACACAGAACTTCACGTTTTGATACCATATAATGGATGAATAAACTACCCTTCAATCCAAAAGTTTAAGTTAATGGGTTGAGCAGATTTAATTCATGTATTAGATATCTAACATATAACTTAAAAGAAAAGTCAGGGCATCGTAAAAGGTATTTGAACCATTCAAAATTCAACCCACTGTTTTTTAATCCCTTTTCACTAATTCTGAACATCTTCATGAGGTCAACAGCTTAAAATTCAACTCTCTATTTTTTAAGCTTCTGTTCTTATCTCTAAGCCTAAATAGTTATTAAACTAATGAATCTTCTGTCCTTGTCGAATACTTTAAAAATAAGCAACATTACAATAATAACATAAAAAACATAGTCTAACATATCTCTGAACTATCTATATCAGTTTCATGGTAGAACTCTTCAAACACTTGAGCATTTTTGCGCCCTATAAATAGTTGTAAACCCCTTTTGAAACTTCAAACCAAGAAAGCTAAGGAGATCAAGCACCTCAGCAAAAATGGCTACAAGTAATTTGCAAACTCTTGTTCCTGTTCTATCTCTCCTTCTCCTGGCTCATGTTTCGACCTCCTACGGGGGTGGCATTGCGGTTTACTGGGGCCAAAGCGCCGCTGAAGGAACCCTAAGAGAAGCATGTGCCACAGGAAGATACAAGTACGTTATGCTTGCTTTCCTCAACAAGTTCGGCAGCGGTCGTGCCCCGTCGATCAACCTCTCTGGCCATTGTAACCCCGCAAATGGCGGTTGCACGGTGGCCAGCCGAAACATCAAGTTCTGTCAAAGCAAAGGGATAAAGGTTCTCCTCTCCATTGGAGGTGGCATTGGAAGCTACTCCCTTGCATCTCCTACTGATGCCAAAAACTTTGCCACCTATCTCTACAACCACTACCTTGGTGGCCGATCATCCGCTCGACCATTGGGGGACGCTGTGTTGGACGGTATCGACTTCGACATCGAGCTTGGCTCGACTGCGAATTGGCAATACCTTGCAAGGTACCTAAAGGAGTTGAGCAAGCCAAATAAGCGAGTTTACTTATCAGCTGCTCCACAATGTCCATACCCTGATAGATTTCTTGGCAAAGCCCTCAACACAGGCCTTTTCGACTACGTTTGGGTTCAGTTCTACAACAATCCTCCATGCCAATACCAACCCGGCAACATCAACAAGCTCATATCCTCATGGAATCGTTGGACGTCGTCGGTGAGGGGCTCAGGGAAGATTTTCCTTGGCTTGCCAGCAGCTCGAGGAGCTGCGGGGAGTGGATATATTCCACCTAATGTGCTCACTTCTCAGATTCTTCCCAAGATAAAGAGGTCCCCCAGATATGGAGGAGTGATGTTGTGGTCTCGTTATTGGGATAAGCAGACAGGATATAGTTCTGCCATTTTCAGAAGTGTCTGATATATATATATATATACATATAATGATGTTCTCTATGAGCTTCGAATAAATTACATAGGGGCATTATGTTGTTTGTATTATGTTGTGTTAGTTTCTTTCACGTACTGTCTTTATATATAATAATCATCCTATGAAGGTGATAATATAATAAATCTTATGTTAAATTTGTTTCTTGTTTTGTTTTTAGAAGATTCTGAAAACCGTATAAAAGATCTTTGTTAATCAAAGTCAGAGATAATATGAATGTACAACATAAAAATTGAAGTTTTCTACCCCAAATTATGATGGTTATATTTCAAACTCTCTTCAAGTATTTCAGAAGTCAGAACCACATTTGAACACTCTTGTTGAGTAAAAACATATCATTCAAAGATAAAATCGAAAACCATGGTATAGTTCAAGGACAAAATTGCAAATCTCAAGCTAATTCTACCAAGGCAATTTTGAATGACATATTTTAAACTTTTAAAAGCTCAAGGAGGTCAAAAACTATAGTTTAACCATAGTAACAATAATAATTTATCAACGTTGTTTATTAACTTTTAAGCCGCGGACACAAGTTTTTATTACCAAGTTGATTGCCCAAACGCATGAGTCATGAGTTTTCCCATCCAATTGATAGCATTTGTCCCAAGTATCCAAGTTCAGATTGGTTTTGATAGTCGTATTTTAAAACGAAATACTAATTAAGCACTCTAAAAAGAGAGGGAAAAAAACATTTTTACATGCTTTTGAAAATTGGCACGATTCAACCAAACTGGCATTTTTCTTTAAGGGATGAGAATTTCAAAAGATCAACTGGATTCTGTTGCGGGACAAACAAATCAGGAAGTATGATAAGGCCTGAATTGAATGACATAAAATAATAAATTGTGAGTTCAGAGTTGGAGGCTGTTCTTCAACTAACAACTAGCTAAGCTACACAGTTCAGGCAAATTATTGATAAAAGATTAGAGCTACACAACCCAAAAATTATACCAGAGCTAGCTAGCTACACAAGACAAAAAACAAGGCATCTCATACTTCTTATATAGACACTCATACTCTACTCGTACTCGTAGATTAACAAAAAAACAAAGAATAAGGAAATGTAGAGGTTCGCATACTTATGGGAGAATAGCAAAAATAATGAAGGCTGAATAATTAAGTAGCATTTCTCACGTTTCTTGGTCTCTACTCTACACTTTACGCACTTGAATATTGTGAGTAGATGGGAACCGCCATATGGGTTGTCTGCCACTCTGAAGGAGTGCTACCTCTTCTCCTTCCTTCACCATTCCTTGCCTCTGTACACAACAAACTTAATGAGTCAGAACAAGGTACATGCTCACCAGAAAATTTAAGTGCAGATCAAGTGGAATTATAGTACGGAGATCGCATCTCTTTCATCTGCCGATGGCAATATCAGGGGAAAGTTCAGTCGAGATCCACTCAGTTTTGATTTCAAGGACAATGTCTCTCAAGTTACTAGTACCTTTCTTATTTGGGGTTCTTCCCACTGATTGGTATTTTTGGGATTAGTTAGAGATGTGGTAAAACTGTTGGGATAGAATTTGAAAAAGCTTCCATGAAGATTTCCAAGTTGAAGATCAAACTTTCTTAAATGGTCATCTAAGTGAACAATGACCATATGCATCACCATATTACTGGAGAATACACGAGGACAAGAATAATAAATAATTTAAACTACAACCCTGCACCTTCTAAGTTATAATAACCTGCCATATTATGCAATAAAATCATTGCTAAATGGAAACGAAACATAGTATTCGTACTATTTCAGAGAAGGCATTAAAAAGGTTCCCTCCAGATAAAAGAAGCGAAAAGAGAAAACAAATTGCAGATAGGACCCATACCTGAAGCAGAGATAAGGCATCAGCAAAGGTCTTCTCAGCATCATCAGAGAACTGCATGTATATGGGGCACACTCCCTGATATAAAGCCAACCTCTGTTGTATTGTTTTACTGCATGGCACAGTAGGGTATTTAACGATAGTGATACTATCATAACTAAAATCCAAGAACCCGACTAAATTTTATATTTCCTACTCATGAATTACTCCTTTGGCCACATACAGGAAGAAAGCATTTTCATCCATGATACTAGCCTTTTCTATAAGATCCTACTAGATGCAGATTAACTCAGTGGACCAATATTGAAATGGCAAACATTTATATCAATAATGGACTCGAATTTTTGTATCTTTGTATGTGATGCCTACATCAATAAGAGCACCTTATGCCAATACTTTGAGCACAATAGAAAGAACTATCAAGATCATGAAGTATTGACACATAAATGTGGAGGAAAGAAATAGGAGACTAGAGAATAATAAAGCAGTTCGATGAAAACAAGTTTTGGTTCTGTCAGACAATAAAATAAAAAACAACAAAAAGGAAAAGAACCAGAATCTTGAATGCAATCGTATCTAGGTGACATGATATATGATTGGCTTTCAAGTACACAAGCAACTCACTCGTTTGTAAAGGCAAATGTTGTGCCAGATGGTCGATAATGGCTAAGGAGGATAGCCATAAAACCAGTTCTAGTGAAGACAACTATTGAGGTTCCAAGAGTGTTGGACATCATTGTTGCATGATAAGCAAACATCTCGCTCATATGGTTCTACATAAAGAAAAGTAACCAAGTCAATGTCATGGAGAAATAGAACTAATGAAAAAACAGAAGAGTGGAAAGAGCACAAAATTATGTTCCTACTGAAGTATTAAATAATTACTAATTTTTAAACAACCTTGAATGTTTGGCCGAGATTCAATGGCATTTGACCACCGGCTATGGTCGCTTCAGTCCGTAAAGCAACTGTATGCATTACTTTCACAGCTTTTAATGGGAATCTGTAAATGGGCAAAGTCGGTGTTCAAAATGCAAGAACATACTTATTTATTCCTATTTTATTTCGTAATGCGCTCAATATCTGCACGTATCATGCCTTATAGCTTTTAAAAACCAATTAATCAATATGAATTATTGTTTTGCAGAATCATATCATTCTGTACCCACCGTAGAACACTTAATCTTGGGAACCATCGCAAGATCTAAAGAAACAACATAATCTGACCCAAAAATTCCTAAGTGCACAAAACAATATAATATGCCCCAAAAATATGGGCCAATCACATGTTCTAACTAATGTACTAAGGAACTCAAAATAATAACTCACTTTCCGTGAGCAGTTTCTCCAGAAAGCATGACTGCATCAGCACCCTCTCTAACAGCAATAGCAATGTCAGATACTTCTGCTCTGGTTGGTGTTGGATGAACAATCATACTCTCAAGCATGTTAGTTGCCACAATGACAGCCTTCCCCATGCCACGACACATGTTTATTATCTCCTCCTTCATTTCAATCAAGCATGTTTAGGAAGTTTGGCGAATAAAACACTAAACATCTCTTCTAAGAGTGAAAAAAAGGCACAAGGGGAAATAATCTCCGCTGCCTCTCTTTCATTGGGAAACATTAACTACCTGCAGAAGTGGAACCTCTTCAATAGGGAGTTCCGCACCAAGATCACCTCTTGCAACCATTGCCTAGAATGATAAAAGGGATTGCCCCTTAAATTAGCAATCAAGCCCCAAAGTATCAACCAAATTGAAAAAGCTTGAACTGAATTCAACATTAACTCATGAAGATCCAGTCCGATTCTGTAAAGAAATCTAATAATTACCCCATCAGATGCTGTAATAATTGAATGCAAATTTGGTATGGAGTCTGCGCTTTCTATTTTTACAATTATATGAATGTCAGCATCACAGCCTGCAGAGTCAGACAATTTATTAGCATCCAAATCGACTTTATAAACACAACATAGATATGCAGTTGTTTACTTTTAAGATAATTCTTCAACTCATGAACCACTTGTGCATCTTTAACGAAAGAGACGGCATAAAAATCAACTTTGTTGTCAACTCCAAATTTTATGTCATCCCAGTCCTTCTCTGCAAAAATACATAAAGCAGTACAACATATTTGTTGGGTCACAGCAGAAAAATATTAAAAAAAAAAAATCCAGAACACCCACGTTGTCCACTACTAAAAAGGAAACTTCAATAAAAAGTGAAATTTGTAGGAAATGCTAATTCAAAATCGAACCAGTAATGGAAGGCAGTGTTGCACTTTTCCCTCGAACATTTAAATGTCGTCTGGACTTGAGCTCTCCTCCATCAACAACTTCACACTTCACCGAATCCTCTGTCTTAGACTTCACCATCAATGACATCATTCCACCTATAACAAGATTTCAAGAGTCAATGTTGCTGCAATGCATGAGATGATGACAAAAAAGCTTTATCTCTTCTTGATATAAATTTCAAGTAGTAATAATCTTAAGATGTAAAATGAAAATTTCATTTAAAATAGTAAGGATAGTTTACAACGTATGAGAAAGAAAAAAAAAAGTGAAATTAGCATTAAAATACAAATATAAGGGTATCTTTATACAGTCATTAAATGAAATTAACATGTCCCCAAAAGAAAAATGAAGCCACATAAGTATATCAAGATAATACTACAACGTCAAAAATCATATGCTACAATGCCAAGACTTTTCACCGCATGGAATGTAAACTAAGATTTTAATCATTAGGATATATACACACAGAAAGGAGAATCAAATAAAAGAATGCGGCATACCATCAACAAGAAGCATGTCCCCAACTTCTACATCATTAACAAAATCGTCATAGTTTACGCTGACAGAATCTGGAGTACTAACACCTCTCCGTATGGAAAATGTGAATTCCTGTCCAGTCTCTAACAATATTGGTTGTGGTAGGTCACCACTCCTAACCTCAGGACCCTGCAAAATGAAATACATGATTAAAAAGAAAAACCCTGAATGACGTAATGGTTATACCAAATTTACCAAAAAAACAAAAAAAAAATTAGAAAACGTAATTGGTTACATAATGAATCGGTCTACCGTTTGTCAATATTCAGCACAAGGAAAAAATCAAGGCTTAAAAGAGACAAAAATGTGAATAAAACAAAAGGGTATGTATGACATTAGCATTTCAGCAGTCAACAAACAAAATGCATTGTAAAGTTGAAACTGTAGACTTGTTTTTAGAAGATTCTTTTAACCTTGGTGGTGCATCCTTATCCTCTGGCAGAGTAAAGATGGATAATACAATATTTGTAAATTCCAGGAAAATTGAACTTGTTACATTGAAAAACATTTGTTGCTAGGTTAATGAAAGTACAGAACATATGAAAATATGAAAATGAACTTGCCTTGGTGTCGAGCATGATCGCAATGCAGTTGTCTTGTGATTGCGCATTGTATTCTCTGACTAAATCTATAACTTTCTGATGAGATGCATGGTCTCCATGAGACATATTCAATCGAGCAACATTCATTCCAGCCTCGGCCAGTTTCCAAATCATTTCCTTCGTGTTAGTCGAAGGACCAATCGTGCACACAATCTTTGTCTTACGTCTAACTGTTGGTTTGGACCACATTCCAACCGGTGTATCACCAAGTTGTTGAACTGCTCGTAAATGTTCAAATTGCTCATCTGCCTGATAAGCAAGATTTAGAAACATATTAAGACGAGAAATTTTAAATTCACTAATCACTAGCATTTACAGCCAATGAAGACTACACAGTATCCATTTCCATTGGTAAACAAAATAAGAAAACTAGAAGAGGATTCTCGGCAACCATTCATATATATATGTTAATTCATGTTATATTACTATATATAAGGGGAAAATCTCATTTTCTGATGATTTACTTTCTCAGCAACAGCAATATGCATTCTGAATTTCCAGCCGTACAAAACTCTACGCATCCAAATGCAGGAATTATACCCAATTATGTATCCGTACAGCTTGAAGCAATATAATAAAATACACCATTTAGCTCCCTGAATGCTACGTGCCTGTCATACAGCTCCTTAATTCTTACAGATATTCGAATTCCATGACTCCAGCTCCCCTTGTTTTCTCAATCTTTTCGTAACAAGCAAATAAAAGCATTTTCCTAAAAAAGTTAACAGCTCAAAAGATCACAAACCTTCTGAACATCCTCAGGTGATACTGGAACAACTGCAGCTTGAGCAGCTCTTTTCGCTGTGACTAGACTTCTCCTGGAAACAAAGTTCCAACTCTTCTTCTCGTGCGCCAGCACTTTCGAGCCAAAACCAAAAGACCGAGCCTTGTCCGCCCGGTCCTGCACAGATCCCGAGCTAGGGCACAGGAATGTGCTGCAAATCGACCTTGTAGCCACCACCTGAGACATTTTACTAACAGAAGCAAACACAGAGAGAGAGAGGCTAAACGAGAAAGCTCCCAAGGAGAGATTTAACGAACGGAGAAACGCTCGATGAAACGAACGTAGAAAAATTCGCCGCTATAGTCCGGCGGAGATTCCAATGTATGAGGGAGAGCTTCGGTTGTATCGAAGAAATGGGAAGTTAGTAGAGTAGCGCGGTTGAGCTTCGTGCGAAGCGGCGATTTTGCTCTTGAAGTCTTTAACAATCAACAAATACAAATAAACAATACGGGGCCAAGCCAATTGTCAGCGCGTGCAGTCAACTCGCCCTCCGTGAAAAATGTGCTACATTCCACAATTTGTCAATTGGATGGGCCGTCATTTGGGCCTGACCCTGAACCCTTTTGCGATTCCTTTTAGGACTTTTTTCAGAGGCCCAACACATGCTCATTTGGGCCTAACTAAAAGATTTCATCGAATTCAGAATTTATATTTAATTTTTATAATTGTTTTTTTTAAGCACATGCTTATCATTTGAAAGTAGGTCGTTTATTGATAATAAACTGGATTGATTATTTTAAATATAAATATAATTAAAGACTGTAATGACTATAGATCATACCTTGAAAATCATAATTTAATTAATAAATAATTTATGCTTGATTGTTTACCGTTTGACTTGGAATGGTTTACTGATGTAATAATTAGTTTACCTAATCTAACTTGGAATGGTTTACTGATGTAATAATTAGTTTACCTAATCTAGATATACCATTTGCTGCTACTTTTGTGCTATTTTTATATAATTAGTACTCCTAGTGTTAATTCATCTAAAAATAATTTTGAAATAATTTTCAACCATCAATCAACATCGCAAATTAATTTAAGAACTTAACGTTTCTATTGGTGAAATAATTAGTTTTCAAAAAGAGTAATAAAATTTATGGAATTATCTTATACGAGCTAGTAATTTTGAAATAATTTTGAAATAAATTTATGGAATTTATGAAATTACCTGTAATTTTTCTAAATTTTCAAGGCGTCAAGAGCAAGAGTCATAAGTTTAAATCTAGAAAAAAAGTAACTAACGATGTTAATTGTGTTGATTATACATGTTTAAAGTCCAACCTAAACGAATTAAACTAATTAACAAAGCCAAAACATCATTTGGTTGGAAAATTTAAACGTCAAAATTCATGAAAACAAATTAAAATTAAAAAGATACAAAATAAACCCTTTCAAAAAATAATACACCACTCCAAACTTTCCCCCTAAAAAAATGAATTAAATGAAAATAAATATAAGGAGACAGCATTGAGCTCGTTTAAGATTGAATCATGCACAGAACAACATGAGAATTACTCACAAACCTCCAAGCAATCAAGATTCAAGACCACAAAAAACACAAACTGTCTTCAAGAAATAGAAGTAACTCGAACTGAGTGATCGGCAGATCCAGTCAAGAACACGGGCGAAGTTGGGTGCCAATCCACCGTAGTTATCGCTGCGGTGTGTGGAAGAGTTTTCAATCCACCTATTCGACCCCCCACCTAAGCAAACCGAAGAAGAACAAAGAAGGAATTCAATCAGGCCAGGAACAAAACAGATTTTTAGGATGCAGAGCTCACTTCAATCAGATTATTAGCCTGCAGCCACGCTATCAGTTAGCTTTGTACTCGTAAATCTTTCACAGTAACCTTTACAGTAGCATCATGGGCGTTTACAGGCTATTGAATGCGAGATGAAAGGAATGGAGGAAGGTAGCGAACCTGGTATATGGGTGCTCTCACTGAACTTGATGTTGCCAAGAGCCTCTTTCCATTAGCATCCAAAGCCATTTCATGTCTCAAAGATAGAGAGCTCTCGGGATCACAAAATCTGTTTCAGAAAAGAAAAAAAAAAGTATAATTACATAACAAAAACCATGTATAGTAGCAAACATTAACTTAGCTCATCGATTAAGACATCTTGCTCTTTCACTAGACCTCCGATCCCCACATTTGTTATACTAAAAAAACCATGGATAGTTTCATATGGACTGTTGTTAAGGCTGTTGTTAAGGGAAACAGTGCCGAACTAAACAGTAGTCAAATAATATTTGGAACGTAGTTACTGTAAATTTATACATTTAAATGCACCAAAAAATTTGTTCGAAGAAGATTAAAAAATATTGATGAGCATCCCATTACATGGTAAAAACACAGATTGACATTCACTAGCTATTTTCAACATTATCATGCATTCCAAACACAAAATCGACCCATTTGTCTACTGGGTAAAATTTTCTTCTTCACATTCATGAGCACACATCATGACTGCAGAAACGTGCAATGATCATCAAGAAAACCCTTATAGTAGTGTAGAAAAGAAGCTATAAATGTGGGTCTCAGAGAGAGAGAGAGAAAGTGGCGTATCAAAAGTATACAACAAACGTGAGAAAACCAAGAATCATCATATAGTAACATTTTCATAATCACTAGTTAGATATACAAGTTCATATAATGAGAAAGCAGTTCTCGAGATCATACTTTACAACCCTTCTAAACTAGTGAAGATATCCCCATTCCTGAAAGCATGATACGACATTACCGTCCCAACTATAGAGAGCCAGTAGAATAGAACATTCCTATACTTCTCATTTTGTGACTTCCACATGGTTTCCCCTCAGAAGGAATTTCTCAAATAATTCTTTTTTTTTCTTATTAGTGCCAATTGAAAGACTTTTTTGTAACTCCAAGGGCCGAGGGCTGAGGTTGAGAGATGTCTTACTCCCCTTTGCTTTGGTAAATCTTTGTCACCAATGCAAAATATTTCCCATAAAAAAATTATTCGTATGATCCAAAGAAAATTCGTAGTAGTTCAAACAAGAAGTGATAATTATTAACAATTACTAATATTATTATGATTAAGACCCTCTTATAGAGTATTACATGCAAATACCTGCTATTATTTCTTGACCACAGAACTTGACCTTGATTATGCAAGCTCCATTCAAATATCTGACCACAGAAATACGTATCATCTTACAATTCAATTTCAATACGAGTTAAAAGATCAAAAGAAAGCTTATACATGCATTAACACAACTTCAATCCAGAAAAATGAATAGAGAAAACAACTTGCCTTCCCATCTGACCCTAAGGTAAACATGCTAGTTTCATCTGGCCCAAAAAGAATCGAGTTTATGGCAGAATCATGTGCAGGCCACCCTGTAATTTGTAGACAAGCAGACATGTCTTTTACCTAGTTAAGGTCCAGAATTGTGAAAACGTATCGTTCAAATAAGTGAATGCATATCACTCCTTGTAGGACTGCCAAAGTTGCACAAACCACTAAGGTCTTATTCACCCATTTATGGTTCAAATCCAGGATTTGCATGATCCCTTCCCCACTTGTCTATCCAGTCAAAAAGGTAGAAACTAGCAAATTTTCACACTCGTCCATGTGAATTTTTCTGAGCATGAATCTAGCTGCATATAGGAGTGGTAAACTTGTGTTGTAGCTGGATTTCCAGGGGGGATCCATCATTTTACTGGACAATTGGATCACGTTACAGCTAAGCACATATAAGAACTCCAAGATTCAATGTATTTCATTCTTAGTACAGAAAAATCATTCCTAGCTTTTTGCATGCAATTAACAAAAAAATGTAATTATAATAATCTTAAAAAACCCGTGATTGTAACCATCTGTTACACTACCCATATAGCCTTGCAAGAAAACTTAGGCCCTTAAAATGGTATTGGAAGGATACCAAACATGTGAATCATTCCATCAGTAGCAGCTGCCGCTAAAATCTTTCCGTTATGATTGAAGCAAATTGAAGTGATTGCAGGTGGATCCTTACCAAGAGGAAGGACTGACTTCATAGAAACCAAACGATAGTCAAGGCATCAAATAACAACTGGAAACTAAAGAAAACTTAAGTTCCAACAGCAAGCATTTACATACCAGTGCCTTCCATGTTCTCATGTTCCATACTGTTAAGGAAGCAAACCCCATACTATCCACATAACTTGAACCATGCCTACAAAGACAATGGATTCCTGAGAATCTCTTGCATTGTTTTCCTCAAAAATAGAAAAGGAACAAACCTAGACTCATTTACAAGTTACAAAAAGAAATGCATGAATAATCTTAGAAATAAAGCTTACAGTGGGAAACAACGCCCTGAAAATAATCTAGACAACCATGCATAGAAATACAACAAATGCGAGGCATCGTCAATGTCAAAGTGGAAGCCAGTTTTAGTTTTTAATACAAAGCACATGAAAGATTATGAAATTACGAGAAAAATAATACCCTCTAGATGCTGCTGCAGACACGAAAATAGATTCAACAGGACTGCACTTGATATCCAACACACTGCAACAGAATAAACTGTGAGAAAGCTTAGAAAAGGAAGAATTAAATTGTAAAGAGTATTAACTGAAAGGACCTAGGGAACATATCAGTCGTGTTGAGATCACACACAACTCTCTTAGCATCAACATTCCATGCTTTAATGCCCGCATCAGCAGTACCAATTAGAAGCTTTTGCCAAAAAAAAATGCAAGAGTTTCCGGTTAATTGAACTCTTCACAAAACTATAGATGCATTTCTTTTAATGTAGGAACCAGATATCAGATATGCGTTCACTATGTAATGAAAGCTTCCATATACACTTACTAGGCGATCAGATTTACACTCCCAATCGAGTGACATAATCTCTGCTCCACAGTAAATTGTTGCATTTCTAGATGATGGAGTGGATGAGTCGTATGTCCATATCCTATTTTACATGTATTGGATCAAAAGATAATGAATTAGAAAACCAACAGCAAAGAAGAGAGGGTGGGGTGGGGTAAAGGTGTAAATAAAAAACCAAGAGTCATCTAGACTTCATTTAAATTTTTAACAGGCGTCCTCAGTTCAAGGAAAATTTTTCAGAAGTCACCAAAAATTATATGGAAGGAACCCTTGAAATTTACATGAAAAGAAACGAGATGACTTAACTATCAACCTATTGCCATAGTATCACCTTCTGTTTTGCATCTCAAATACCTTGAGTATTATACCTGACTGTTCCATCCAAAGAAGCACTTGCTACATTGGTTCCAGATGCAGAGAAACGGCAACGACTGATTGGACTTGTGTGGCCCAAAAATGTCTCCTATTTACAAGGTAATATGAAAATTACACAACTCCGTTGTATGGAGAGCTAGAGAAATATCCAATCACGAGAAATGTAATAAACATAAATGTAGAGGTAATAATTATACGTTAAACTTAATCTTAATGCTACTAGCAGTATTACCTGAAATTCTACTTTCACTTCAGGAAATTCTTCTTGTACATGCACTTCTCCGCTATTCTCTGGCACGTTATGCACACAAATGTCACACCTCTTTAGGAAAAGAAAAGAAGGGGAAAGATTGCTGATATATTATGAAGATGGCAAATCCTACATTAACTTATAATAAAACTGATGGTTACAGGGTTATTTTTTTCTATTTCATACAGAAAATGGAAGGAATAAAACATGACATATAAGTTCCACAGTTTCTTCTTCGATAAATAAAAGTTTTAACTGGCACTAAAATGAAAATTTCATTGCTTCCGGAATAGGATAATAATTAATAAATGTAATCAAATATCTAAAATATAAATTTTATGTCACAAATTAAGAAATTAATATTTCATTATTTGGGAGTTTAAATAATTAATTTTATGAAAGTAGTTAGTATTTTCAGGGTTGGAGATGGAGTTGAGGTGGGGGGTTGTTTGGGCACTTGGGGTGAGCCCTGCTAGATTTTGTCATCCCTTGATGGCTTAAAACAGAATCTTTCCTTCTATAATAAGAATGTGCAGTCAGCATTTCTTTTTTGGTACTAATAATTTACCAAATTGTCAAAAAAAGAACTTTATCAACAGAAGAAATTAAGTACTTTAAAATAGGGCTACTGACCCATTTCACGACCATCATCACAACTATGACTAGGATCACCAACATCTCCGCTGCAAGGAGTTAATGAAGAATTTGAGTTTTCATTTGAAGCAGTAGACCCTGCTAAAACCCCATCTCGAGCCAGTCGTGGTTCCCCAACTTGTGTAGCTGGAGAGGCACAAGTCTCCTGGGCATCACTTGATGAAGGAACATTCTCGTCGTGCACCATACTTGAAGAACTGCTCATTAAGCTGGCATCAATGAGAGGTTAAGCACTAGTTATAGTGAGTGGTTACAAATGATATCTTTCAAAAATTGAACTTATTATATCCTTTCAAACAAAGGAATTAACCTTACCCTCTAAAGTGGCACAGATGAGCCTCTTTCTCCTCTAACAAAGCCTGAAGTTGTGCTAATTTAAGATTTAGCTGCTTGATATCTCTTTTAAGATGATTAACTGTATTCTTCTCTGAACTGAGCTTTAGTAGGGCAGGAATGCGTGGTTTTGTTAAGAAAAAATTCTCTGAACTGACCTAATGCCCATGATATCAAATATATTGTTGCTATGCATGAAGAGTCTACATTTGGAGGGGGCAACGAGTGAAAAATATGAAGAAAGAAACAAGAACAAATTTTGAGAGAAATATTTCCCTAATAACATGTCCTATTATTTGATTTCTACTTATTTTTGTAGTTATTATGATAACTTATATTTTTGTGGTACACATAAAAGCAACAAAAAACTCTCCATTGTTTTATTGTATAAACCACAGTTTTCTAAGATTAGAAACATCGCTTCCATGGAGAAAAAAAAAACAAAAGAGAACCATAGTTACAACCCCATTTTACATTTTTACTCCAAAAAAAATTTCGGTAGAAACAGAATGCAAAGGCATACTCTCCTAGTCCTAGTCCTAGCCACAGAAGGAAAAGGTAATGATCTAAAGGTACGAATGGAATATAATATGCATTCACTCTGAATGACATGGTTTCCATGAGATTAAAATAAATCTGACTGCTAGAGAAATATGCCAAGCAGTCAAGTAAGCTACAATATCAAAACCATCAAACATTACAACACTTATATGCAGGATATGAGTACCATTGAAGACTTCGCTGAAGAAATTCCTTACAGAAACATGTAGCGCTTCATACCACTCCTTTGTAAAATAGACATGAAAGTTGGGATCAAACTTTGGATTCTTTAAGTATGGCACGGCTGCAAAATGTCCCCCCACTCATATAAATAGAGAAGAAATTAGTTTATTAAAACTCAGTAACAGAATTTTTTTACCCACCAAACCATGGAGTCCAATCTCTAGTCCTCTGCAGTAGATCGTTGCCATTTATTTTAAGAAACTCCAAAACTTTGTCTGGCCTTCCAGATTGTATGGCATATACCATATAGTAACGAAGGATGGAAACCTCCAATTTTGACATGGTTGAAAGAAGTGTATTGTCAGATGAAGAAGCAAGGCATTGCTTGAAAAAAACTAGCAGCCCCACCAACTTTTCTGCCTCAAATTTAGGAATATATATTGAGAATATTAAATCTAAAATCTTATCCACTTGAAACCCTTTTCCGATATCTGTGCTCAGCTCACTCTCATAAGCTTGAAGAGTACTTGTAAACCCCCTAAACACAAGGAACTCCCTCACAAGCTCCTCGGCATACTGCATATTCTCCATCATGGACCAGATTTTCAATATTCCGGACCTTAGGCTACACTAACACGCGTGAGCTTCCTTTGAGCACAAATATTACTGCACATGGATAGTTAAGCAAAGTAGTAAAGTTAAAAGAATAAATTAAGGATTATGTCACATAAACAAAGTTGAGCCAGAAACTGTAAACACCATTTTTCCAAGTTATCGCTTCAATCATGCAGCCTAAGACATTTCATATTGTACTAGTTTTTCAACAAACAATGTTGAGAGTAGGTCATCTGTCCCCTAATAAAGCTCCGCGGAGACTGATTCAGACACTGGCGGTTGTTTGAAAATAAAAATTGAGCTAGAAATTATTAAGCAATGACAGAAAAACTAAACAAACTCAAACTTCATCAATTTTCTCCTCAACCAACTGTAACAAACACTGCTACTTAGCATGATCAAACCAACCGATGCCAAGTATCAATGAAGGCAAAATTAGCAAAACGTCTGAAGTTCAAGACAGGCTAAAATTCACGACAAGTAGATATGTAGATAGAGAAAATAATGTATTGAATAATAAATAAAAAAAAAAAGTAACGTTTAATAAGTGTACCTCCTCAAATTACCGAAGAATTGAACATAATCGAACCCAAGCGAATCAGAAGGCCTTAGATTTAAGATGCTCATACGCATGACGAAAGAGCGAGAGCTGGAAAAGGCAGAACCAGTCGATGAATTCTATTTTATTAAAAAAAGTGAAATTAGACAAGTAACTGGGCTTGGTCGGCTTGGGCCTTGAAGTAAACTTTTTCTTTTTTACATTACGAATGGGCTAACCCGTAACAAGACCCAATAAAGTGGAAATAATCACTGGGCTTTGACTTCGTGAAATGGGTCAGCCCATATAAAAGGTCTAATAAGTGGAAATAACCACTGGGCTTATCATCTTGGGCCTTTATAAATGGGCCAATCCATAATACGGATCAAATATAATGGAAAAGACTACCGGCATTATCGTCTTGGACCTTGAAGCGTATTAATGGGCCTACGTACAGTAAAGATATGATATGTGAAGATAATCACCGGGATTTATAATCTTGGTCCTTGAATCATAACGCACTGGACTCCTTTACACTACAAATGAGCCAGCCCATAATAAGGATCTAATACAGCGGAAATAAATACTGGGCTTTATTGTCTTGGACCTTGGGACTTTTTTACATTGGAAATGGGCCAGCCCATATAAGAATCAAATATAGTGGAAAAAACTACTGGGCTGTCGTCTTGGGCCTGAAGCGTAACACACTGGACTTCTGTACATTGGAAATGGGCCAACGCATAATAAGGGTCTATATAGTGAAAATATTGGGCTTTATTATCTTGGGCCTTGAAGAGTAACGCACTGGACCCTTTTACATTAGGAATGGACTGACCCATACAAAGGTTCTAATATAGTGGAAATAACCACTGGGCTTGATTGTCTTGGGCCTCGTATCGTGAAAGCATTGGTCTCTTTAATGGGCCAAACCAGAAAAGAACATATAGAGGAAATAACCATCATGCCATAAATGCAAGTCATTTTTTTTGTTTAAAATTCAAAATATAAGGGCAGATGTGTAAAATGGGCCAAGCATTGAACGTTACTATAGAAAATAGATCATTGTTGCAAACTTCTTTCAAGTCATTAACTTATAAATACTTTAAAAAGTTGAGACATGCACATCTCATTTTACATTGATATGACAACCATCGATAGTAGATTGTATGAAAATACTTAAAAAAAATCTAGGTCCACATGAAAATCATTGTTTAATATATATATTTTTTTATTGTTTTGAAATAAAAGGAATTTTTAAGAAAATAACCAAAATTAAAATAATTACAAATAAAGCCATATTGGAAGTTTTCTTCAAAAAGGAAGTGCAAGGCATAAAGCCATAAATTAACTGATCATAAAGATCATATTGGAAGTGTTTTTAATAAGCTTAAGATTTATGAAGCTTAGAATGTGAAAATCTAAATTTGTATAATCTATGTTTGGCTTCTTAGTGTATATTTGTAGAAGTTAGAATGTAGTACACCTCTACCGTTTGGTTTCAGGGCAAACACGAACTTTAGTTGTGAACCTCGAAGTTACACAAGTATAATTTGTATGTCACACTCTGTCATTAATAATCCATGAGAATTGGTCAAAGCTATCGAGTAGAAAACATCTTAACACTTTTCAAATGAGAGATTGCCTAGCTTTTAATTTCCCGATGATAGAAAGAACAAGATCTTCAAAGGAAGTTGAGACCTTTTGATTAAATCTAATAGATATTTGACAATCAAAAAGAGATGAGAAAAGAATTAACATTGGATTTAGAAAACAACTATAAAGCAAAATCCAACTTCTATTCTAAACAAAACTTTGTTATGAGCTTCATTTTAACTATCTTGGAGAGATTGTGGAGTGGCTGCAGGTAGCCAAAGATGAAGGATGGCTATTAATGGTGAAGGAACTTGACTGATTGATGTCTCTTTTCATGGCTCTATAAACTTGATCTAAACCTTCCTCCATCAGCTCCACCACTGTTTGTGGCATCGGTGGCATATTGACGTCGGTCGATCCTTCCAACATCCTCACAATGTCTCCCATCGTCGGTCTCGTGGCAACTTCATCTTGAATACACCAAAATGCAACTTTCAGAGCTCTCATCAGCTCTTCTTCCTCCACTGCACCTTCTAATCGCCTATCTGCAACTTTAAAAGGTGTCCCATTTGTCATCTCCTGCACAGAACAAACCCCATATGATTTTAGTTTGTGAAGGGACAGTTGGTTACAAGAAGGCGTCACTAGATAACATTTTGGAAACTTCAGAAGCCACATATTGGTTATATTACTATACTAGTCCCTAAGGTTAAGCTTGGTTTTGATTTGATCTCTATGATTATGAAATTTTCATTATAGTCCCTATGATTTGGTTAAATCTCCTCAACAATTCGTAACGTATCAATAGTTTTCTTATGTGATTTCTTTAGACGTAAAAGATAAAGAGATGATACCGTATGAATAGATGTGAAGAATAAATTGGCTAACTATATTAGGACTTGAGTCAGATAACCAATAAAGAAAATCAGATGGATTTTCAAGTAAGAAACGAAAAAGAAATGGGTTATCCATAAAAAGCGTTGTCTGCACGCCTCGTCAAAAACCCTAATCAAAAGGTCCACCTCGTCTCTCACAGCCACGCCAAAGAGAATGTGGCACATAAAAAACCATAAACATTTGGTAACAACAAGCAAGGACGTTTAGCCAGATTAAAATCAAACCACGAGGACTATAATGAAACTTTTAAAACCATAGAGGCTAAAGTGAAAACTTAGTTCGAGTAAAAGCGAGATCTGAAAGCTTACCTTGTAAGCCCAACCAGGATAGAAGAAGTCTTCAGCATCAAAAGACATATCAAGGTTTCTTCTGCCACCAACAATCTCCAAGAGAAGCATTCCGTAGCTATAGACATCAGCTTTAACAGTGATGGGGCGATTACTAACCCATTCTGGAGCCAAATATCCTCTTGTCCCTCTCACCATTGTTACAACATGTGAGTGCTCTCTTCCCATCAGCTTAGCCAGACCAAAGTCTGAAACTTTTGGACAAAAATTTTCATCCAACAGAATGTTTTCTGGCTTGATGTCACAGTGTATGATCCTATTTCTGCATTGTTCATGGAAATAAGCAATCCCTTGCGCCGTGCCAACAGCTATGTGAAACCGAGTCGACCAATCTAAAACTCTGTCTTGATTATGATGTGTTGGAAATATCCATTTGTCCAATGACCCATTTTTCATAAATTCATATACTAGATGCCTGCAATGCAAAATCCCAAAATGCAATATGTAGTTAGATACTGCAGTTTGAATTCTATAAAAGATTTTTGGCATCTGTTTTCAAAAACAGCTTTAGGATGAAATCTTATTGGGATTGTTGAAGGTGAGAATTTCCTTTGTTCTAAAGAAACGCCATCCATGAAAACAAACTTGAAGAAAACAAGATAAAGCAACTTTTAAATGACAGTTATCAAAACATGTTTCTTTCAAAATACTCCCAATTTCGGAATAGCTCTTTAAGAAATGTTGTGTAGAAAAATCACCTATGCGATCCTTCCGAGCAGTATCCACAGAGTCGAACCAAGTTCATGTGATGCATAGATCCAATTGTATTAACTTCAGTTATAAACTCCTTCTCTCCATGAGGGAAAACTCTGTCTAGTTTCTTCACAGCTACCAAAGTCCCATCTCCAAGGCTTCCTTTATATACACTTCCAAATCCCCCTGAAAAGAAAACGAAACATCAGAACTTCCCATGAAACGCAAAACATGGAGTTGAAGCATGCATCTAACTCTTCAGATTTGCTCTTCTTCTCAAGGCTCCCACGTGAAAAAACACTTTTTTAATGGCCAAAAATACTTTCCGTTAAAAATCATTGAGAAAAAAATACTTATAGAATACTTTTAATCCAAGTACTTGATCAGGCAGATCTCAAAAGCACTTTCTAAAATGAAAAACCAAACATCAAAAATACTCTTAAAGCACGCTGAAACAAGCCTTAAAACAATTTAAAGGGGTTACCTGTTCCAAGCAACTCAGAGAAATTGTTCGTCCGAATCTGCAGATCGCGGTGGGTGAAGCTCATGGGAGCTCCAGACAAGATAAGAGAGCTCTCCATGGCTCTCTTCAAAGCTCTTCTTCTACGAACATTGTAATATAACAACAGACACAGCAGCCCAATCAGAAGAGCCATACCCAGAACCACAGGAATTACCGTAGCCTTTTCTCTAGCACTACCTGAAGAATCTCCTTCAGCTCCTGGCCCATTGGCTTCTGGTACTGAGCCATTGGACCTAACCTTAACGAAGAGAGTTGAGCCAGCATCCTCAAACCCACCGAAATCTAAGCTTCTCAACACCCAACAATAAGGCTTCTCATCGTCAAGTCCATAAACAGAAGCAACACACTCACAATCAGATAAGCAAGCATCACCACATTTCGATACCGTATTAATATCACTATAATTTGCAATCACAGAGAACTCAGAGTAGTAGTAATTTGTTTGCTGAACGGGAGAAATCCTGAACTCTGTTGCCGGAGTGTGATGATTTGAACCGCCGCATTTCCCCACCAATGACGAATTCTCAAAGCACTGGCTGCCGCCGTCGTCCTTGAACGTCCCCGGCAAGCACGTGCAAGACGCATTTGTCTTGCTCTTATCCAAATTGCAAATTCCATTTCCACAGATTCCGGCAATATCACAGGGATTCGAAACCGCCGCCCATTCCGGGACCCATTGGCGCGATCCATTAACATCATCATCCCATCGATACAACCGCAAGTTCCCATTACTCTCTAAGGACAATCGTCGAATAACTTGTGTGCGAACGTTACGAATCGACTGATTTGTCGATGCTGATAAACCCCCATTATCGTTATCGTTTTTGTAGAAGTATACCGCGCCATTAGAGGAGTCGCCGTACACCACGCCAAAACTTCCGCCTTCATCTAGAACTGCGATTACTTCACCAGTGACATTGGAAATTGCAGGGGCCGACCAGTAAGAGTAATTTGCGTAAGATTCGGGCAAACCCTCGTAATTTTCTGGCAAATTGAATGTTAGGGCGAGCTTGAGAGTGGTGCGCTGTTGGAGCATTTTGAGGGCGTAATATCCGCCATGGGAGGGGGATTTTGATGTTGTGAGCTCTAGTGAGACCGAGAGAGGTTGATTCGGGAGGAGAGTGTCGGATGGGTGTGAAAAGCTCTGCCAGATAGGGTTCCGTTCGGCGTTGAAGAGGATGAAATTGCCGGATTCCGACATTTCGGCAAACTCTGCTCCGGCTCCGGAGGTATTGGAGGACCAGACGGCGGCGCCACCGTCGGTGAGGACGAGGTTTCCGGTTGCGTCGAGCTCCACAATCGCATTCTTGGAGACTGGAGAGTTTCTAGAAGTAAATGATTGAGAGAGAAATGAAACATGGTCGCTTATACGAAGAGAAGGTAAACTGGAAAAGGTCTGATTTTCTTTAGAATTAAACAAAGTTTTGGTGATTGAAGATGAATGAAACGGAAGTGTTCTTCCAAATTCATCTTTTTACAACTATTTTTCTATGTTTCTGAAGATAATTAATTGCATAACGGAAAACATTTCTGAAACGATCGCTCAAAGTTTTGGATCAAGCTCTGTTCTTCGCATGAATAATTTCAAGTTAAAAGTTCAACCATCATTATTACAAGCTTCTCAACTTAGCAGGTAGCAACCAGATACCAAGGAGAATGTGGACTGGAGACTGTGGACTTTGTTTTGTCATACTCTCTTCTCAAATAATTTTCTGCTTAAAGAATTAAAGTCAAATATATTTGATTTACCATTTTCAAAAGGGTCATTTTTTCCTTTTAGTTTGTCAGGGAAAAAAAACGAAATAATTAAACTTTTTTTTAGATCGCAATTAACTCTAAGCTATATTCATGTTGGCTAGAACTATAAATAATTAAATTTGACTTTTCTTGCAAACAAAAATAGAATTGAATACTGCCAAAACGAGCATAGTTCAACAGTAATTAATATATATATTCAATCAAGTTGGTCTCCCACCTCCTACTACTAGTATATATAAAAAAAATAGCAAATAGTTTTTTCAAATTTTTTTTCCTTTTTTTTTCTAAAGAAGTAAGCTTTTACCTACTTGTTTCTCTATTTGGTTATTTACCTTTTCAAAATTTAAGTCTAGATTTTGAAAAACAAAAAGAAAAAATAATTTTGTTTTCAAAATTCAACGAGGAATTTGAATGTATTTTTGTACGAAGGTTTAAAAAATACTAAATAATTTGTGAATAAGCAAGCATAGTATCTGTTAAAATATAAAACTATAAATGAAATCATTAATCATTTTCAAAAAAAAATTTAATCGTTGAAATATACTTAAGCTTGAAGCATAATAACTTATAATTTCTTGTTTGTATCATAGAAAAATTTAAATCCATAAATTTGTGAGTTAGTTATATGAATAAGTTCAATTAACCTACACAAATAAGATTCAATGAAAAAAGAAAAAAAAAATCTTGTTTACCTAACTTAAATTATATGGTTCGTGAGATATTTGACAAAAACGTACTCAGGTTGATTTTACAAGAATTATTGTTTGCTTCAAACTAAGCCTAACATGCATGAACTCGGAGTCCCTCCGTGAAACTTCACCGTACAAAAAAAAATTCATATAAACAACACAAATAGAGTGGATAGATCAAAAATTTTACTCACAATGAACAACAACAATCATGCTATATTTTGGAAACTAACCTGTTAGCCGACCAGATTAAAGTTCTATCCCTCGGGAGCTCCGCGAACCAGACCGCAAGCACAAACCGGTCAGTAGCCATGCTGCTACCGCCACTAGTCGGACTAAACCCAAACGCAAAAGTTCCATTATCAGAAATCCATGTTTTGCCTTGATCACTTGCCAGCAACCTCGCTCTGATACCAATTTGGCTCGCCGTGCAAGCCTTGATAAGGCATGCAAAAGCGAAAGCCAACAAAGCAGCAGCAGCCATGAGAGAAGCCACGGTGGGATCGGTTTTGTTGAGTCATTGGGTTTTAAACGATTTCAAAGACGTCTGTCTCTCAGGGAGATGGATAACATATGGAAAGCAATAAGTGCAGAGAAGTTGGTGAGCTACACTTTGAAAAAGCTTCCCCCAAAAATGGCCGGCTGAGAAAAGAGAAGGGGGAAGTCTTTGATACGTGTTGGAAGCTGTGAGGTTGGCCAAGATTTGATCTGCTCATGTTTTGTGAGAGGGACTCAAAATTGACACGTTTATTCCAATTATTGGTTTCATTATAAATTCACATTTTCACACCTTTTGACTTGCATAATTGCACCTGGGATTTCCAAAACAATGAGTGTACTCTCATCCATTTCATGAATTTTCACGTTTGGGAATTAAATGTTATTGAAATTTGGCTACCATCAAAGTCAACTTATGGGCTCTATTGCGCAAAAAAATAAAATTAGAAAACTATTGGCCGGGCGGTTATGTGTTGTCATTGACTCCTCGTGAGTGTTAAATGCATGGCAATAATTTTGGTTATTAGTATGCGATCACAACAATTAAGTTCTATTATGGTATTCCGGTTGATGTTAGCTATGAAATATGAATATAGTGGCTAGACCACAATGACCACAATATTTTTTTAATACAATGATCGGAGGATTTGAACCTCCAAATTCAAGGAAATGATCCAATGTCATATTAATAAGTTACGATATGTTGGCTCCAATAGGCTGTAATAAACATTGATTTAAAAGTCAATGTCACGTAATTGTTCAACTAGCTAGGCTCAAGTCGCATGTTATTTTCTAAAATTTTAAGAGTTATTATTTATATCACGATCATACATCACAACTTTTTGGCACCTCTTATTGTTAAAGAGATTATATTCACTTCTTTTTTCCCCGATCAATAACAGGTGACAGCTCAAAAAACGTTGCCGCTGCAGACGCCAACACTGATGAACCAACAAGAGGTGGGAGTGTCCTCCACTATACAAATTAAAACTACTCACATTATTATACTCTCCTCTCAAAATGGTACCCTCCAAAAACAAAACAAAAATGAATAGTGAAGATATCAAATTTGAATTATCCATTTTTAGTTCACCTCTTTAAAAAAAATAAAAATAAAAATCTTTCAGTTCACATTAAGACAATGGCAAAGAATAAGGGGCACTTATGCAATTTCACATTAAATCAAATACTCTGTTTTTAGTTAGGAGGGTAGGTCAAAAGTCTATTCAACCTATTATTTTAGTTTACTTTTTTTTTTCATACCATCATACTAATATATCCTAATAGATACAATATCAAATTTTTGTTATTTCTTTATCACAAGCCTAAATTTCGAACAAATCCATTCAATAGAAATTGGTCGATGTAAGCATATCTAATAAATCAAATACTATTGTATAGTCCAAAGTTCAAGTCTGTATCATATCTAATATTGTTATTAAAAAAAAGATAAAAATTAAAAAAATAAGCGAAACTATATAATGACAATTAAAAAAACGACATGTGACCAAAATCTAATCGACAAGAGCAAATATTCCCAATTAGTCTAGAAATCTTTGTCCTCGAGAAGTGAGAGCGAGGTGTCTCTTACACACTTGCAAGTATTTCTGCAGACCTTCGCTGGCTCCTAAATGGACAAACTCATTAGGCCTATAAAATTCGGAGGAAAAATCGAATGGGGCAATGCCATCGCGACGATTCTGAGGTACCAACCAGTTCTAATCATTTCTTTTACTTAATTAAGCATGTCGAGTTTGTTGCAGACACGGTTTGATTTATCGGATAACGAAAAAAATTTATAGAATTCTCTTAAAACAGATCCAATTTCTTCTTCTTTTGCGGTTTTTGGTAGCTTAAATGGCAGTTCTGCTCCATGATTGCCCTAAATTAGCTTGGTTTCTTCTGGTGTACTTTCCCTTTTCTTCCCGAATATTATAACCAGACCTTACAAGTTCATACACAACATTCTCTTTGGGAATCAAACTGTGGCAATGAATGTTTGGATTCTCTTGCAATCATTATTGTCTTTAAAAGGGGACATGGAGAGGGGACCAATTGGTTTCAAGTCGCTCTCCTTTTTTGGGTGTTGTCCCAAATACCTCGGCCTCTGTCCATGTCTTTTGCCGACAATCCCTTGGACCATTGTCTGCTAAATTTACAATGCCCATTCAAATTTGAATGAAAATGACACAACTTTCTCTGACAATTAAACGGGAGAAGTTTCAAACTCACCACCACTCAGCACTGTTGGTGGATGAAAAAGTCTGATCATCCTTTACCATTACAACTGTTTGATATTTTGCCTCATCCAAATTCTTCACCACTAGTTTAATGATAAATCCCATTATTGAATTCAGGGAGGACTGGAGGAGAACTTGTCTACGTATGAGAATTGGGAATCATCAAAATAATTCTTTTGTTTCTCCTTTTTCTTGCTTTGGAATAAGAGTTTGAAGCCGACGTCTTTTTGTACATTAGTCGTAATGTCGTGGAGTACTAACGAGTTTGAATCGACCTGTTGATGTCTTGCATCTACGGTTCAAACTTGTGATGAATAAAGTGAATATCTTTTTGGAAAGAGAATCTGTCTTCTTCATGAAGTATATAGGGAGGGGAAATGATTAAAAGAGATGTGGGGTTGAATGTACTGATGCAAACACTACATTATATTTGCCTGTAGGGACTCGAATTTCTGTTCCTTTCCACCTTTTTCTCTTTTTTGAATTATTAAATTCCCTGTTTCTTGCCCAATCACAAACACAAGAATTAGAGAGAGAGTACAATGAGGTTTCCATATATATATACACACACACACATAAATGTGAACCACTGAGCCCCTGTGGGTATGTTCCATAAAGAAGAGAGTTTTCACTAGCTATTTCCCTTTGTGTACATATTAGTATACTATCTTTGAACTTGTGCTCTGCACATATATTGAGATAAAGCTGCAGGAATGGAGACATCCCAGCCTCTTTCTATTGACAGCTTTTCATATAGTTGGCTAGTGAATATAAAGCCTTCTCTAGAAAGCTCAGGCAACAACTCCTTTAGAACCTCACTCGATGCTTCCGATGAAGCCTCCTCCTTCATCGAGATGGACCCGAGAATGACACCCTCCAAGAGATTTTTTAGGAACTCGCAGGATTTCAAATTTGACTTCCCGGTCTCACCGCCTTCTCTTGCTTTCGTACATGCCGACCAGCTGATTTCCAATGGCTGCCTTGTGCCATTTTTCATTGATCCAGTGAAAGTTCAGAGATATGAGGAGGCAGATTTCACTCAAAATTTTCCACAATCTTCCCATATTGAAACAGACGTCCATCCAGCCAATACTTCTGACTGCTCGTCGACAAGAAAGTGTCGGAAACTATCAAAGAAAGTGTTGCAGAAGTATTTGAGTTTTTTCAAGCCGTTGTACCAAAGAATACGAGGTCATAAAGCATCATCAGGTTCCAAACCAGAAAATGTTGGCAGAAGATCCAAATCTATGAAGAATTGGGAATATTCATACGAAGCATCTCCACGAATAAGTGTAGCTTACTCTGCCGATGATTGGCGAAGATCCTGCGATTCTGAGAGCTCAATTTATGAGGCAGTCCTCCATTGCAAGAAATCTATAGGTATGTGAAACATGTTAGTTTGGCTCATGATATTACTATTTTTAATCAAGCCTTTCTTTCGGCTTCTGATGATTCCTCAAACCTTTGTTATCCTCAGGAAGATGAGACGAGGAATTTCAGACAAGGAATCGGGAGAAAGAAGTGAAAAACAGAGGATGATAAAACAAAAGAGCAATTCAAGACAGACAACTTAAGAAGAGAAAAATGAGAAATGAAACGATAACATCCACTTGCTCTGTCCCTTTCTTCTACTTTTTCTTGGATTAAAATGTACCATACCATTTTGTCTGTGAGAAAAGTAGAAGCTGTATAGATGAATTAGCCTTGGAAAATTCAGGCCTTGGCAGAGAAACAGAAAGGGTCACCTTAAATTTTGTTTGTCCTTGACTGTTACATGTAATAAAAATCCCTTTCAAACAATTAAACACCGGTTCCGATATGCTCGTGACATGGCAGGGCCTTAGGTAAATACTCAAATGCCATGTGAAGTTGATGAAGATGAATTGAACTTTTGTTCTTTACTTGGAACTGTGTGGATAAATTAAACAACCAAGTAACTCTTTGTTCATTTTTTTAATGAATGTGCTGCATCAGACTGATATGTTGGTAACATAAGAATGTCTTCTAGTTTTCATTTTGCCCTTTCTTGACAGTGAACTGGGTACTTGGTAGCTATGCAATGAGGTTATGAGGAAATTGTGGTGGGGTCCCCTAAGTTGCTTTAGTTAAGCAAGGAATCCATAGCATGTTGTCCTCTTTTTAATTTGCACATGAAAGCACACCAACTTGCTTTTTCATTTCATGTTCTTTATTGACAATAATTGTTGGGTTTTGTTTCTTCAAATCACCATGATTCTATATTGAAGAGTTAACATTCATCTCACAAAGTCTCACCTAGGGGCCATTACAATTTTCATAATCTTCACTCTTTGCTATGAAGTTTATGAAATTTCTCCCTCCTTTTTAAACTTACTTACATTTTTTTACTTCCTATATATATTTTTTTTATAGGAAACCGAACATTCCATTGAGAAGAATGAAAACAAAATAGAAATACAAGGGCAAACAAAAACAACCCTGAAAAAGGAAGCTAGCCTAGAGAAAAGGCTTCCAATTCAAAACAATATGACCTAACTGATAATTATAAAATAAATTCAAAACAAACCTCCATAAAGAGACATTAAACCTTACGAGGTCGCAATCAGACTCTCACTCTCTTTACTTCCTATATTCTAACCTTAGTTTCAATTTGTTCTTTTTCCTTTAAAAGTTTCATTATCATTCTTATCTTGTGATTAAAACTTATTAAACAAAGTAATAGAATACACCAGAAAAATAGCAGCAATAGAAGTCTTATGCACTCGAAAGTGGACTTAGTCCTAACACCATAAAACTCACTTCTAAGTTATTTCTTAACCAACGTGATCTGATAGACCCCACATCATTAAAATAATTTATACCATTTATCATTTCTATAAATAACTTAGTACATTAGATTTTTAGTACTCTTACCAATAACAAAGACGATAAGGTTACTAAAATGATGGACCGCAGAGATAATAATAAAGGTTTTAAAAGAAAAAAAAACATAAAAGGAACAAAAATGTTATTTCACCTAACCTCATACATTGATAGCAATCTCATTCTATATTTGATGGCTTTCAATTAGATGATGACTATTCAAAGGCTAGTTGGATGATGACTATTCCGAGGTTGTGACGACTAAACCTACACAAAAGAGTTACAACTTTATTTATTTATTTATTTATTTATTATTATTATTATTATTATTATTATTATTATTATTATTATTATTATTATTATTTAGTTCAACAATATGGAGGGGCGGAGATTTGAACTTCCAACTTGTTTGGTCAGAGTATCTTTGACCAATTGAGTTATGTTCAGGTTGTCGATACAACTTCATTTTTTAGATGTTATAGAGTTAATTTGCATATGATAACTCTACCCAACTTTGTAATGCAATTTAATCACATCAGGATTGAAAACTGAACTAAACAGATTTTAGTACGTACAACCATTGAAACTAATCAAAAATTTGTGTTAAAATGTAAAAACAGTAACCAGTCAAAATAAATCTCAACAATGGATAAACTGTCCCATCCATACATAGAGATTCTTCATAGATAAATAAAAAATCAACCATTACTTGGCTCCAAGCTCAGCCAAATCACACTAGATCTGGACCAAAATTGGGTGTCCTTTGGCTCCAAATTCAAAATGATACTGTCTTTAAACTCAATTTGGTTGGAACAAAACAGAATTTTCATTTTTCATCAGCACACTTATGACAGCAACTTCATCTTGTAAACCATGGTTGAATTTTTACCCTCAGAGGAGTGTCTGTTTTTTCTCTACAATTTTGAAGGAGACTTGAGTTTGGGAATTGAAAATTTTGAACAATACCCACTATATTAGGCAAAAAGAACAGAAACCCCATCTTTTTAGTTATACAATATCTGGCTCAGATCCTCTCTGAACCACAAAAACTTCAAAAACAGAAAGGCACTCAGATCGAGGCAACTCCTTCGTATCTTCGACCGAATGTATACATACTTTAGTACTTGAATTTAGCTTTTTGGTGGCAGGCAAACAATTCAAAAAAGGGGGGTTAACTCTTTAACTTTTCTCTTGCACAGAGCTAAGATTCAATGGAACTATTTGAGAGACTTGGTGCATGAATTTTAGTCACATCACAGGCCATTTGAGGCATCCTCAGACCAAACTTTCAGTTTGATCTGTGGGCATAATGATGAACATGGGCTCCATTTGTGCTCATGTGTCTGCTGCAAAATTGTAGCTTTCATTTTTGGTGTGCTTGATATTATAAACAGTTGTTCATGAACTCTTTAGTATTAAAAGGCTTTTAGTAGGTCATTTGAATACTTGAAATTCATCATTTCAATTGCTACCAAAACCCAAAAAGACTGAAAACTTGTTCAGGCTGGGCAACCATTTCCGCCACATCCTCAAACAGTGTCTGTTATTATTTATTAAAAACCTTATCTCCTTCCGAACACCAACAAGATTTGCCAAGTCCTTTTCACTTTGTTAATGCCTCATTATTATCTTTGTTTTTGGCAACTTTAGCTGTGCCTACTTCATGCAGAAAAGCTCCTAAATACTTGAGGATCATTGTGGTAAGGAAGAAAAATGGTAAATAGCCATGGCAAACTCCTAGTTTCTGAGAAAAGAAAAAAGAAAAAGTAAATAAAAAGACGAGGCAAGGCGTAAATGGCTCCGGCCCACCTCCCCGGTGCCTCCCAAAAGGCCCTTCAAAAAATACAAGAGATCTGACCAACAATTTGGTATGTAAACAGAGACCCAATCCTGCTTTTTCTTTTTTCCTTAAACAGTGTTAGGCTTTTAGCTAATGGACTCAAAAGTGTTGGCTAAGGATGAGAAGTTTGTCACATGTCAATAAGCAAGAAGGAGGAGACATGGACAAAATGTGCTAGGACAAATGACAAAGTATAATAAAATTACCTCTCTGTCTCTATCTACTAGTTTCTGCTTGCCCTGTTGGATTTTCTGCTTTTCCACCACGGAACCACAGTGATGGCTGGCCTTTACAAGCTTTGTTCTTCTATCGTTTCTGTATCGGCATTTTCTGTGGGGACCGGGACTTCCCACATGCAACCTGTCGTTGCATGACTCCTTCAGTCACTATAGCTACTAACAAGACAGACTAGCAAAGTCATAAATATGCATATATTTGCCAGTTAAGTTGTGGGGTTCCCTTGATAAAGTCCCTAAGCTATGGAGGATTTATGAGACAATCATAACTAAAGGTTAAAATATATCCTATTGGTATTGCATTGAACACCTCTATATATCAATGCAAATTCTTTGACCCAAGAAAAGAAAAATTCAATCCAAATCAAAATCTTTCTGTTCACAAAACTCAGCACAAAGCAAGCTCCTCTCTATGTCAAATAATTAAACTATGCAAAGGTCGCAGCACGAACGTTACAGTACAATTACCGTACACCCCAATCAGATCACTGTCAAAATAAACTTTCCAAGAAGGCTTGTAGGGAATGACTTTCAGGAAAGCTAGGACAACTGGTCTATGCTAAAGCCAGTCTCCATGCCTTGTGTCTGAGGATTTTCCAAAAGAATCCTACTCAAAGTTTTAGGACAATGACCATATAACATGATTTTTCTTATATTCAGCAGCTAGGAATATTCATTGAATGACTGCAACAATGACGTCAATGGTCTTCCGGGGTGTCGATGAATTGCTCGAACATTGAATGCCATGTGATGCAACCTTGGATGTGGCTTAAATGATTACGATTCACTATGCTGATGAAAAGAAGCTAGGAAAGGAGAGTGCCATTTTTGTGACATTGTGCAGAAAAAACTAATGAAGGATAGAATTTGAATTTTCCAATCCTCATAAAGTGGTCGAGAGAGTTCTTTTGTCTTTTTTCCCTCTACTTGATGGGAGAGAGATTAAAAACTACAATCATACTTCAATCATCTGAATCAGTAATAGTGTGAAAAGAAGGAAGACTTAATCCGAAGTTGTTCAAGAACCGTGGCAAAAGAGATCTCTCTCTAAAGAAATCGAGAAAATAACTTCATAATTTCGCGAGAATGGGTGTCTCCTCACACAGGGGTCACAATTATGAACAACCAAATTCATATGAGAATGAAATTAATTCATTTTAGGAGGACGTCAATTCAAATCATGGATTTTTGAAGGAAGAGATTTAACCAAACCCCTTGTAGACGGAATCAAAATATAATTGGAAGAGAATTTTGTAGGAATAGCGTACTTCTGGATAATCTTTCAGAAGGCTTGGCTAGCCACCACCCAACAAAGGCACTTCTTTCAGAATGCATCAACAGCTACTATTTCAGATAATCTTTCAGTGTAATACTAAAATGAGCCAATTCATATTCTATTCATATAAACTCAAATGTGCTGTTCTAAAATGGAGAAAATGATGACAAAATGAAGAAATAAAAAACATAACAACACAGATTTTACAAGAGCTGTAATAAAAAATTACAAGGAGAAAAATCCACCGTAATAAAGAATCGAAACAAGACTTGTCCAAAGCTAGAAATTTGCTGCCCATGGGCCATGAAAGACTAGAATCCAATAGGAGGCGTAAAAATTCTTCATGAACAAGAACGCAGAGACAGAAATATGTGCAAGCAGATTAAAAATCAGCGCAGTCGATTTAGTATCCCTAAAATTAAAACACCCCATAATGCTCCATTAAGATTTTTATTCTCAAATTTGATTTTAAAAAAAAAAAGAAATAAAAATGATTTATGTTGTCGTTTGGGAAATCAATTTGAACAGTTACTCTTATCGGAAACGCAAGTTCCGACCCGTCGTTCCTCGGGTCAGGTTGTGCTACGACATGCAGTTCCTTCCACTAAAAAACATGTCGACACGTCGTTTGGAGCCTCAGGATTTCTTTATGTGGTTCAGGTTACTTGGAACATTTTGTTCGTCTCCTTAAATAAATAAATAAATAAAACAGGTTTAGCCGCCACCTGCCAAATAAAACCATTTCAGTTCTATATATGACAGTTTTATACTTGACAATCAATTCAAAGACTTAGATTCCCATTAAAAATATATATATATATCCTTGCAAATCTTATCGGTAATTTTATAATTATATTACTAATTTCACATTTCGAGTCAAATTTAACTTCGAAAATTGATTTTATGGACTTGTTGACAATGTAGGCCTTCCAAACAAGTCATCGTGACATAGAAAATTTAATAGTTTGATAACATAAAACAGGAAATGTCAGTTATGTTACCAAACTATAATATTTGCTTAATTTCATCCATTTTATGGTTAAAAAACACGAAAACAATTTTCTGGAGAAATTGATCATTTATGATATTTTACTCCCTAAGAGCATCCTTAGGGTTTTTTTAGTACAATAACATATGAAGTAAAGATTCGAATCTATATACGCCTTAATCCGATTGAGCTATTTTCAAGTTAGCATGTATTAGAGTTAAATAACTTGGAATGAGTTGGATGACAAGGTCAAACTTATGCTTAGTAAATTTGTTCGTCATTTCAAACTAGAGATTATATAATTTGAGATATAATCAAACTTCATGACCCTATATCTCAATCTATATACTTAACATATTACATATATACACACAAAACCATCATGATGTGGCATAATGGTCAACAAGAACCAATATAAATAGCAAATGACTTAGAAAGAATGGTTCACACCATGGTGGTCACCTACCTAGAATATAATATATTCTGCTGAATTCAAATTTCAAGCTCATTACTTTGCACAATCCAAATATACATGAAAACTCAAACTGTTAAACTCCAAATTACAGAAGATTTGAACATGGATTAAGTGAGTATTAATGCCTCTCAGAGTTGTAGGTTAAAATCTACTCCCTCCCTTTCTAATATATTATTCCAAGAAACAACCTTAAACTACACATACCCAAAACAATGATGATTAATTAAGAAACAGTGAGGGCCCAAGAATACCGCAGCAGCAAGGAAAAGAACCGTATACGTAATTACTTAAGATTAGAACACGAAGAAGCTTGGCGTTGATGGACTAGGAAGAAAAGCAAGATATATTGGGTGCAGAATTTATTAATTTACTGAAAAATTTTACTGCAGTGAAACAATGCAGCAGCAGAAAGGCTTCTAACACAAAGTATTTGAGAAACTCCAGGGAAAAGTAACAAAGAGCTGCCTTGCCAGAAAAAGAAACAAGACTGCTAAAAGATATGTGAAAGTAAGCCTAACCAGACACAAATGCCTCATAATCTAATCCTTCTTATTTTGTTGGAGTGGCCCTTTGGGGATTTTACTCAAAACCTTGGCATCAAATACAGCATACTGCTTCTTGAGCTCTATCAAGGCCTTCTCAGCAATTGGATCAACCTGATCTTCATACTTCTCATAAAGTACTGGCACAGTGTGTAGCAAGACAAAGCCTGTTTTTCAAGAACAATTGCACATCCAAGTATTAATGTAAGTACCTGTTCTCAATTACAAATGCAAATAACAAATAAAGCAACTGAATGAGCAGAATTCCTTACATATATAGACTAAAGTCAGAAAGTTGAACCAACTGCCAACTACTGATAGAACCCATAAGCCAATAAAAGCCTGTTAATGGTATCAGACACCCTCAGTAGCATTACCAGTTATAAATATATAAAATGGTACAAAAATACAGTTGCAGACTGCAGTAACTATGAAAAAAGTAATTTCCAATAGACTATTGAGGCCAGAAATGTTTCTTTTAGTTTACTGCCCTTGCTCTAGAAAAACACATTTACACGTGAGATGAGAAAGTAGAAATGAACTTACACTTAGAAACTTCTTCAAATCTCTCCCAGAAGCAATATCACGTAAAGTTGATATTACTCGGTTGATTTCAATTCTCAGTTGATTGGCAACCTCAGGCAGGCAATCTAAATTAAGTCTAATTTCTGGGATGTGGGGTGAAGACCTGAACAAACAACACGAAAAAATATTTAAAGAAAAAAGAAAAAAGAAAAAAACGAAAGATATAAAACAAAACCAACAGACTATATAGCATTAGATTTTGAAGTCCTTACTTGTTGATAAACGTATTAGCATTAGACCACACAAAAATTAAAGCCAAAAAAAGAATTAATATATGGCAGACAAGAGTGATTAATTGGTACTCAAGCAGCTCAAAAAGGATCCACAAGGCGGTGGCACCCCCAAGGACACCTGCAGAGTTCTTCTTGTTCCTCCAAAGAAAAACATCAGCATCTGCGACAAGAAAAAATTACAATAACTTAAGAAAAGTTCCCTCACGGATACAGACAGGAAAGCGGTGGGGAGTAGAAGGCCATATTTCTGCAATGTCATATTCTACACAAACGTTTTTGGAGAAAAATATAAGAGTATATCTAATCAGTTTCAGTTTATATTAATGCAGTTATACAAAGAAGGTTCATATGATCCGATATTCTAAAACAGATTATACAGCACTAACAAGGGATTGTAATTCATAAACAAAGATAATCATGCAAAAATTTGAGGCTATAGCCCCATGTCAGGACCCCACAATTTCAGAACGGAGCAACGGATGAATGCACTTCATTGTAGATATATATTCACAAGAACTTCCAAAAATGCTTGAAACAATTGCACTAATAGACTAATAACAATAGGTAAGTAATATGTTTGTAGTTGTTCAGCAGACAAACAAAAAAAAAACTAGATCTCTCCTTTCAGGTGTCAATCTCGCAAGTTCGTAACTACAATGTGCTTGAAAAACCAAAATGTAAAAAGAATCGCTTTAATTTTTTATATGTCTACGATTTGCAGCATAACGTGAAACCAAATAGCGGTTACCATATTAATAAACAAAGCAACAAAACTCAACCGTACCAATTGAAGTAACTGAGTTATTTTCTTATGCCAGATCTAAGAAAACTATTATGGAACCATAACGCTATTAATCTAGGGTTTTCGTGCATAACTCATACGAAAGGAAAATGAGAAGATATTATTCTATTGTAACATAAGACGGTAAATGCACGCACATCCCGATGATAATTGATAACAATATAGGAAGATAGAGAAGCCATTTTCCGAGAGACGCCAGAGGAGAAAATAGCTTGCGCAAAACCAAGACAATGGCAATCAATTAAGGCAGAATAACAGAGGTTAATACAAAACTTTCAAATTCGTTATATCTCCTCAATTTTTTTCTCCATGAACCGATCCAATACAAGAGATATATATATATATATATATAGAGATAGAGATAGAGAGAGAGAGAGTACGTTTTCCACCGCCCAGGACCTCGTATACGGGCTTTTCTCTACCGAAGAGCCTACGAACGCGGGATTTAGCAGCGTCGAGTTTCGAAGGCTTATCATCATCGGAGTCGGAAGAAGACGATGAATGGAGAGCGTCGATCTTCTCGGAGATCTTTCCAATAACCGAATCTGGCTCGCCTGGTTGGTCAGCCATAGATCTCTGCAGCAAGATTCAAGAAAAATAAATGGAAATGAAAGAAAGAACCGTCTCCGAAGAAGAAACGAGGGGCGAAGTAGTCGTAAAGAGTGCGAAATGCAGAGAGAGGGAAATGTAATATGAGCTATTTAAAGTTAGGGTGCGTGCCCGCGTGGAGAAGTAACGCAATGGAAACCGTCGAGATTCAAGTTTTCAACATCAATCAAAATATTATACAACTTTTTATTAATATTTTGGTTTAAATACTAATTCCCTTGTTGTAGTTTGTTTCGGTTTTTTGAAACTCCCAACTTCAGATAATGAACCAAATGTCTTCATCACCGCTTGCCAATGTTTACGTTGTGGTTTTGTTTTCGTTTTCGTTTTCGTTTGTTTCGTCCCTCTAATTTTAAAATATATATTTTGGTTATTAAACTTTCAAATTTTGTTGGCATACGTACTTTTTAGAAAATGATATTTTTTTTTGTCTTTATTTACAAAATTTTCAAGAAATTTATTTAGAGCTGCATTTCAAAAAAAATTTATTGAATGAAATGTTATTATAAAATTATGATTGAAAAAAAATGAAATAAAAAATAAAATGGATGGACCAAAACGGACATCTTTTAAAAGAATATGGACAAAAAAGAACCTTTCGAAAGTATAATTACTCAAATTGATAAAAGCTAAAAGTACCATAGACAAAATGAAAAAAAATATGGACCAACATAGTATTTAAATCCAATATTTCTTAGGAAAAAATTTTCATTTTTATCCTAAACTTAGATGTGTGTATCAATATTTACCCTGAATTTTTATTTTCATCAAATTACACCTTAAACTTGGACAAATTTGATAATCTAAACTTCTAAAAGCATTGCAGTTCTCTAATAGAAAAATTCTTTTATTATACGTTTTTTTGGTAAAACATGTAAAGTGAGGATTATGTTTATTGGGAAAATTGATACAATGTTTAAGGATAACAGTTGGTTTCTTTCCCCTGTTTTACAAAAAAGAATCCCGACTCAAATCATGTTTTTGTTTCTAATATTTTATATTTACTTTATTTAGTAAGTTTTTTTTCATATTAAAAACATACTTCAATTTTTTATTTTTTCTGCAAAGGTAAAACATACTTCACTCCTTGATATTATTTTAAAGTTGTTTGATATAAACATCATGAATGCAAGCATATGAAACTAGAATTAGATGTGTCGTCTCTCAAAATAAAATTGGTTTGTGTTAAAATAGTTTAGTAAAAAACAAAAATTTATAATTATAAAAGGGATAAGTATACAAGTCCATACCAAAAATACATAGAAGGAAAGAGACATATTGGGCCACATCCCATAATTTGGAGGTGGGGGAATCATCCCGAAGACAATCCGCAGGCCCAATAGAAATAGGACATGGATTATCATACAGAAACGAGCCCGGTACTTATAACGGCCCAATAGGCCCATAACTTTTTTCTTCTCCTTCTAAATATAAATAAGGGTTGAATTATATTAAAAAATAAATAAGGGTTAAAATTGATGTTCTTTCCAAAATTTCATCCCTGTCTACTTATATTTTAATATCTCAATTTTACCTATCATGTACCTTTTTTTTCTTTTTAATAAAATTTACATGTTATGTTTTAATTTCTCTATTCACATATAAGTATGTTTCAACTTTATTATATTCGACAAGTATATGTATGTTTTTATTAGACTTTTAATAAAATATTTAGTATGTTCTAAAACCTGACATTTGGTATGCATTTACTTATATGATGATCATATAGATATAATTTATTAAGTGAATGATAAATATGTCTTTGATGGATTTGTAATATTTAGTAATTATTAAAAGAAATCAACAATATATTGGAAGAAATTAAATCAATAGACAAAAGGAATAGAGTTTGAAGGCCCCAAATGTTCAAAGGTCAAACCTTTTGAAGAAAAAGAAAGGAAAAGAAAAACTTAGACTCCACACAACAACAAAAGCTATGCTAGCAAACAAAAGGAACAAAAGAGAGCCTATGGTCAAATACAAAGCATGCCCCTCTTCCCCATTTATTTCTCACTTTATCAGATTTTCTTTAACCTTTAAAGGCAAAATTCCCTCTTTCTCTAGTATATATGTTGATATCGATGAAGACGATATCCGCATAATTTAACTAGTTAAAAAGTATATAAAAATCATCAAAATATCAAAGTTCGACCTTTCTTTCATCCCACGTATTATTGAATTAAAAATAAATGTTGATATCAATTAATTTTTTTGATACTATCAACATACAGAAAAAAAAAGTGATATTGATCTTTGATCTAGGTTTAAATCTCTTAAATTTTACATATAAAAGAAACATTTTAGTTTGCGTCGAATAAACTATCACATGATAAAATAAAATGATGAAGATGCATCTTTTATTCATTTGCCTAATAAAGATATTTATGCTAAAAAGTGTTTAAAATTAGGTATACAAAGTTAGATATTAGATTCCTTAAAGAATTTGAATAATGGTTAAATATTAATTAAAAATGATAATATAAATATAAATAACAATATGAGGGAGTTTTTTCCTTTTTGTTTGGAAAGCAGAATATGAGAGACTTTAATTATTAAATAAATATACTAAGTAGGATAGAAAATTCGAACTCATAAACCCTTCACCTCAATTACTTTTCATGATAGCGACAAAATAAGACTTAAATCTTCATTTT